CCCACCCTTGGCACCTTTAAGTAGTAACCCTCCAGATTCAAGCCTGGACAGTTCCAACGTTCGGTCGTAGCGGCACGAGGAGGTGAGCGGTAGAGAGCGGCGTGAGTAGCTCCAGCTACAGACAGAGAGGAGACGGTCTCGACGGGTCACGTCCTGGTTACACTGCATGCTTGATGTTGTGTCCTCTGAGCCCGTGCGACAAGAGGCTAAGAAAAGGCCTGCGTCCTTCTGCCAAAAAAAAATAAACGAAAAGAAAATGTATGCTGCTGTCACACGCAGGGAAAGAAAGTCTCTCCGTTCAGCTGAAGAGATGCAGCCAGGGATTCGGCGGAGTCTGACTCTTAACCGTAGGACGTTAAGAGTGCTGATTTCCACCGGAAAAGGAAGGCGCCATTTTACTCTGGCTGCTTCCTCTCTGTTGAATTCAAAGAGATGTCAGTGTTTCTTACCTACAGTAGAACTTGAAGCGTTGTAGCCATTACTGTAAGCCAAGCTGTCAAAAGAAGATCCATAAAGACAGAAGTGCTTGGCTAAGATGGGACAGGAAAGGGAAACGGTAACCTCAGAGACATGGCGTTCTCATGGGAATGACCCTACATCAAGCCAGATCTCCACTGGATTGATTTTCAGAGTTCGGTGATGAGGAAATGGATATGGCCAGAGTTCCTGTTTGATTCGGGGGGGGATTAATGAAATAAATAATGGACTTTTTTTTGTGCTCCGGTATGATGTTCTCTTTGTTGATGTACTGTATGAAATTTATGAGATTATTTTTTCTTTTCTTTTTTTTTTTTTGCATGGATGCAGAGTTGTTTAAAAAAATCAGAAGTTTATTTTCCTCAAGACTTGCAAAAAAAAAGAAAAAAAAAGAGAGGAAGAAACTTATTTAAGGATGAACAGATCATCCATTTTCAACAATTTGTATTATTTTTAATATGAAATTCTCTAGTGCATGATTTTCAAAGAGACTGAATGCAAAATGATAATGATGTGATTGTCATCCTTTAGAATATTCTTCTGTATTTTTACAGATCTCGGTTACAGGTGTGGCCTGATGAGACTTTGTATCTCATATTATTAACAGAAAAAAAGCAAGGGATCGTCAAGGAAAACAATAAATATACAATATTGATTTCGATATAAAAACGAACATGAAAATTGTACATTTCTCCCTTCAAATGCAGCCATAATTCTGTGTTCATGTGGAGACGGAGCTGTAGATTATGGGTCTGTCATGATTCCACTGTTCTGTTACAATAGAATGGCTCATTCATTCAAAGCAAGCATGTTGAAAAGGGTCTGTAACATGGATTGAGCACACCGTCTGAGTAATACAGCATGTTTTGATAGAGACATCTGGGAATTTTTCGCAGTTTTGTGTACAGTGCATGTGGACCAGTGGCTCGGCCGTCCCCTGATCTAGTGTCGTCCACAGATTCAGGTCGGGGTTGAGGTTTTGTGGCCGATGGTTCAGACATTCAACGCAACATTCCACCTCTTGGCACTCATCTTTTCTTGACGTTTTGAAAAGAAAAAAAGGAAAAGAAAATCAAACAGACAAAAGAAATCTAAAAAACAAGAGGGAAAAAGTTAAGAACATTTATATTTATTCAAGTTTGACTTGAAAAAATGTTGCAAGTATATTTTATTTTATTATTGTTATAAAGAAAATGTTATAAAAACGGATCCCATTGGATGGTGCTGTACGCAGTCTCTGAACTCAAAGAGGACTGGACAATGTTCATTCTCGTTGTGTTGTTCAATGCAACAGACACTGGTTGTCGAATTAGGAGCGAGTCACAGTTTGTGGATATGGGGAAAATTGCCACACAATATGAATTTTTAATTGTTTCTTGTTTTGAGAGAATAAAATTCATTTACTAATCCCTGTGTTTGTCTGCAATCATTCACCAAAACTTCTCACAGGCATGACATGCTATCAAAAAAATACCAAAACATTTACTTATAAGGCCACTTAACATACGGCAGAGCATCTAGATGCCAGTACTAAACCATACTAAATACTAAGTAAAAAATGGTACAAATAATCCAATCAAATGTAGTCACCGAAGTAATTCAAAAGTTTAAATATATAACATTAAGCCACAGATGTGCTAATGGCAGAATTCTTTACTTTTCACCTAAATAAGACAAAATCTGCTAAGGGGTAATTAAACCTTTCGGTAACAAATCGTAAAAATATTTTATTGGAAAATTACCATTTTATCAAACACTGATTGCCTTAATATTTTAAAGGAGACATAGTATGCCCCTTTTTACAATATGTAATATAAGTCTCAGGTGTCCCCAGAATGTGTCTGTGAAGTTTCAGCTCAAAATACCCCACAGATTATTTATTATAACATTTTGAAAATGCCTATTTTGAGTGGAAGCAGAAACATGCTGTTTTTCGTGCCTGTCTCTTTAAATGTAAATGAGCTGCTGCTCCCCGCCCACTTTTCCAGAATAGAGCTGCGCCATTACAGCTCGTACCTGTTAAAAATATCTGTTTTGGTTCTGATTATCATGTTTATCACGCTGAAATCATGCGTTTTAAACCATATTAGTTTAAACTTCTGATATACGGTTTTCTGAGAGCACACATCTGAAGCACACGGACAGAAAGCGGCTGTCACGCGGCATGTGAGTACTAAACTAAGTTCTCATTCACACGCAAGTTTAGGTTAAAAACACACATGAGTTACAAAAACAGTCTGTGAAGGTAAACAACTGGGAAATAAATCGCATGTTTATTTTATAATGAGATCCCTTTGCAACGTCACTAGGAGAGCGAAATCAGACGTGCTCAATTTTGCAGACGCTTGCAGAAAAAGGCTTACCAAAACAAAGTTACTGGGTTAATCTTTTTCACGTTTCCTTGGTTGGTAGATGCACCGGGGACCTGATTATAGCACTTAAAACCTGGAAAAGTCAGATTTTCATGATATGTCACCTTTAAACAACCGAGAAGACTACAGGTGATATACATTATAAAAATCACCTGTCAATTTCAGTGAATGAAGCACATATTTATACTCACATGCGTATTAGGTATAACGTATTAGGTATAACGTATTAGGTACGTTACGGTCTGACAGACAGCATGTTGAAGCCACTCGTGCCGCCATTTTCTTCTTGGAAAGCGATGATGTAGTCAAAATATCTGGTAGTGTGGGTTTTCCAGAAAATGTGTGTACTCCCTGGACCTCTTCAGGCTTCTTGTAAATAATATCATATATTGTGCATGTTATGTTGACAGACTAAATGTTACATTCAGCTGTCGCAAATTCTCCGATTTAAAGCCACAGCTAGAAGCAAAGAAAGTAACTGTCATTTTTTTTAAATAATGTAACTTAAAAAATAGAACTAAAACGTTGCTTGCATTCATATTAAACGGAACTTAAATACCGACTGGTTCTTAAGACATTATTGGTTGTTCAGTATTTTTGTAAAAAAAAAAAGAATAAAAGATCTGAGGTTGAGAACATTTACTTAAATATAACTTTTTTATGTGCTAAAACATCAAAGAAGCAATATGAAGTTTTAAAAGGTCATTACTGTCTTTATTGGGTGTACTAGAATAGGTTGACATGCTTTAATGTTGGGGAACTGGATTATTTAACAAAACAAACACAAACTATTTACAGGCCATTTTTATACATTTTGGGGGGTTGTTGTATTTTAAATATATAGGTAGGATTGCATGATAAGATGTTTAAGGTGGGGCTTTGCAAAGGTCTATCTGCATGCACTTTCAGATACCTACAATGTATATTACGACTAGTTAAAATTATGTTGTAGATATCTTGATGCCAATTACGACAAGCCAAAAATGCAGAATAGATGATCTGGATATCTCTAAATTACTAGTAGAGCCAGGTGTATGAAATCCTAAAATGGTTTGCCATACTCCTGTGGGCTTCAAATAGCAAGTAAAGGGCCACATAGAGTAGCTAATTTTTTAGATGTTACTTACCTGTTATTACTTACCTGGTGAGATTATTTTTCAAATTAACATTAGTAAATTGAGAGGGTTAACCTCTCTAGAACTGAAGCAAAATAGTAATGGTTAATATTTCCAGATCATATTTTTCCATGTTTAAACAACCAAGCAGCAACCTTCCAGTCTCTCTCATTTGAATCCAACACGTGACTGAAACTGCAATTCGTTGACTGGCCACAGTCAGTCACAGTTTTAGAGACATGCTCCAAAAGGGAGTCAATCCCATAGACCCCCATGTTAAAATGCCCAACTTTACATTACAAAAAAAAAATGTTTACAGCCTGGTACAAAAACTGGTTTTGGTCTAAATTAGCTGAAACAACACATTATTGTATATTTTCAATCACAGTGTATTTTTAATGTGGTACACAGGTGTGATAAATTTATGGAGGAATCACACCAGTAATAGGAAACATTGGGGGCATGAGAGGATTCTGTAATGCAGCTGTGACAGATTCCTCTTGGACCATAATGGCTTTAGTAGAAACATCTGGGACCAGTACGGTTGAGAGATGAGCTCTGGGACTGGACTGGAGCAGATTCGACACCAGCTCTGGCTGAGGCTGAGGCAGGATAACCTGGGGCAGCCTTGTCTGTCTTGTCTTGTTCCTTGCTGAAACTTCTCTGGCTGCATGAATCTCTGCACCACCATGAGAGGAACCTTTGTGGACATGGCATCAGTGTGACCCGGTCAGTCATGTCAGGGACCTCTGGGAAGCTGTATAACTGCCGCTGCCACAACACAGAGCTGTGGAACCATATTGGGTTCCGGGGTTGCAGCATCAGATCCTTCAAGGCCAAGACAAGAAGCTCTGGGACCAGGGTATCTCTGAAAAGGTACCCTGTCGCGTAACCTCTGTGGTGCCTGTGACTCTGATCTCAGCCATTCTGGAGCAGCAGCGTCAGGAAACTTTAGTCGGCAATTATACACAGTGACTTCTGGAGCAGCACTGACAAGATCTTTGGGACCCAGTTGCCCCTGGCAGGAAACTTTTGAGCAGCAGTGTGAAGGACCTCTTGGAACAGCAGTAACAGAAACCTTTATGGTTATTTCTGGAGTGACCCTGACAGGATTCCTGGACCCAAAGCAACTGAGAAAAGAAGCTTTGTGGCCATGACTGAAACCTCTGATGCATCCGTGACACAGATCTCTGGGATCCGGGCGCCAGTGGCAGAGACCTCTGGGGCAGCAGTGAGAGGAACTTGTTGGACGGGCTTGACAGAGAGCTCTGGGGAGCTCTGGGTTACTCCATTATTAATAATATGACTGGATAGTACATTGCTTAACTAACTTAACTAAAACTCTTAACTATTTACTATACTCATCCCTAGATGAGTAGTTCTGCAAGACGCTAAAACCACCACCTCAAACCAAGGCACCAGATGCAACCAAGGCCTGCCAGCCCCGCAAGACGGTAAGGCTAGAAGGATGGAAGGACTATCTTAACAATCTAAAACTAAACTAACCATTAATGATACACATCCCTACAGTAGGTGAGTACTTCCGCAAGGCGCTAAAACTACTGCCTCAAACCAAGGCACCAGATGCACACAAAGCCTGCCAGCCCCGCTAGATGCTAAGGCTGGAGGATGAAAGGGCTAACTTAACTAACTTAAACTAAAGTATTTACAATACACATCCCTAGACGAGTAGTTCCACAAGACGCTAAAACTAACACCTCAAGCCAAGATGCCAGATGCAACCAAGGCCTGCCAGCCCCACAAGACGCTAAGACTGGAGGCATGGAGGGACTAACTTAAACCAGTCATGAAAGAGCATCTCCTCCAGGTGAAACCTCTGCTCTGGGTCACTCTTTAGGCAACCTCGAATAAAACGGCAGCATTCTGTGCAGAAAGATGGAGAGCAGTCTGATTATTACCTTCAACTTTACACTTGCTCTCTAAGCTGCAAAAATTGGAGAGACTCCTGCATTATCCATAAGAACTTCTTATTTAAAGCCACTGTTTTCTCTGTTCTCTGTTTTGCATTTGTCCTTCTTTTGTTGTAATGAAGTTCTTACCATCAGAGAAGCCTGGCTGTAACCAGGCATCAGCGTCCATCAAACCAATATTGCTGCTGTCTGGGAAAAGGCTGGTGATCATCTGAAACAGCAGCACCCCCAGCGACCACACCGTTGCCTGCTTCCCGTGGTACTCGCCCTTCTCAATGTACTCCGGAGGGCAGTACCTTGCTGTCCCTGCAGGAAAAAGTGTGTCACGTATGAAAGTCTGCTCTACCACTGGAACTTAATTTTAGTCAAAAATGATAATATTATGACTGGGTTTTCTTCTTCTGAATATGTTCTTAGTTGTTAGTCCCATCTAAACATGGTGTAACTGCTCATTTGAGTTTGAGTCCCAAACTACTTGTTTGAGAGATAATACATACCACAATAGGTGTTGTAGGATGTGTTTTTCAGGAGGTCTCCGCAGCCAAAATCGATCAGTTTGACCTCCAGGGTCTCTATGTTGACCAGGAGGTTTGGCATTTTGATGTCCCGATGGAAGACCCTCCGGGAACAGCAAACAGCAGCAGCGTCGATCACCTGCCGCATGAAATGACGTGCCATCTCCTCACTGAAGTGGGCGTCGTAATGCAGCCAAAAATGGTGCATGTCCATGCAGGGTGAGGGCCGCTCTAGGAACATGATGTACTGGTCGGGATGGTCCTGCCAGTCCAGTAGCTTTATGATGTGGGGACAGCTGGGGCCTTGATTGGCCATGACTGTTAGGGCCACCTCAAGAGGAACTGGTCTGGGATGGTCAGGCTAGAAAAAAGATTACTTTTTATGACGTCAGATGGAAGTGGTTTCTCAAATAAGGATTTAGCCCAGCCTGTTTATCTATTAAAATATATGTACTTTGTGATTAATCTAAGAAGATCTAAGAAGAGAATTCTGATGTCTACTTACAAGGCTTATGTACGGCTCGTTCTCCGTCTTCACTGTGAACTTCACAGCTACCTGAAGGCCATCTTCACAGCGGGTCCCTTCAAAGACGGAGCCGCATCCTCCTTCCCCCAACTTCTTGCCGATGGAATATTTCCAGCAAATGAGGTCTAATAAAACATAATAATTATTCATTTTTAAAATCAGTGTACTGCAGTGTGGCATACCATACTTCTTCTTACCATTTCAACAGTTTCTAATTTAACATAAAGATTATATTAAATTATATAATAATTTCAACGACTTCAAATTATTTGAGAAATATATGGAATATTCATCTTGTTTCAAAAATTAAAATTATGAGAAAGAAATGAGAAGAAATGTTACAGTGGTTACAGCTGCATAATTTAAAACACACTTTCCTTTATACATATACAATAAAATAAAATAATATAATGTAAGAAGAGTGGTTGTGTTATATTTTAGGTTTTGACAGTAAACTCACCCTCGATTCTCGTTATCTTATCGCAGTCCAGCTGTCTCAGCAGATGTGAGGCGCTCACACCTGCTGACGGTCTGACTGGACCGTCCTGATCTTGAAGCTGGTCCTCGGCAGTGGGTGGGACATCAGCAACACTGGGAGGAAGCTCCTGATGACCATTGTCCTCTACAGTACAGATGACGTCCCGTAGAGATGTCCGATCTAAAGCGAGGAATATCAACCAAAAGCATGTTTTAATAAACGCCAATGAAATATTGCAGACTCATATTAGTTCTTTATTTAGGGTGACTACATTTGCCATTTCAAAATATAGTTTAAAAAGTTATGACCAGTCTCGAAGAAAACAAATTAGGTGACTAACTTTTTAAGACTAGTCTATAAACAGTTTATGCAACCGGCCCCTGAACTATATTTTGAAATGGCAAAACCTAAGTTTATGCAACTGGCTGCAGGTGTACTATATTTATCACATGTCGAAGAATACAGTCGCTGATACAATTTTTTATAATGTGTGGGGGTTTTTGTGTGTGTGTGTGTGTGTAAATGACAAACATTTTTGATGTACAGAGCTCATGGAAACATCATTTACCATCAGTGCACCTCCTGGATGGGACCGCATCAGTGTCCTGGTCCACCTCACCCTGCTCCACCCGCTCATCCAGAGCTTTGGTGGATTTCGGGCGGGAAAAACAAGAGAACAAAGAGGCAAACTTCCGAAACCACCTCTGTTTCTGCCTCTTCTTCTTGCTTTTCTCTCCCTTTCTTTCTTTCCCGCTTCCCTCACCGTCAGGAGGACGAGGATGGAGCTCCGCCGTGTGGTCGATGGGTGTCCACTCACCTCCTCCCTCCGCTTTCTTTTTAGGGGATACTCGCTGTCCCATAAGCAACAAACGAAAAAACGCCATCACTAACCGTAAACACTGGGTAAACAACGTTAACAACACTAAACTCGTTACTCGCCACAAAGGGAGCAGGAGAATTTCGCGCTTTATATAGAGCCACGTGACATTCTAAATTCCTCTATTACGTCATAAGGACTCATACAGATCTGAGAGATCTGTAAGATCCTCACAAACATTAAAACAATGTCTAATGATGAATGATGTGGGAAAAAATGGGTATTAAAACAGTATCAAAACATATATAATTATTGTTTATTCAAAATAAATGTCAGTATATTTTACAAAATATTTTTGTCATAAATATGTTTCACCAGATGTATTTATTAATATGTATAATAGCCTATACAGTGTTGGGGAGTTACATGTAACAGAATTACATAATTTAATTACAAAATAAATGTAATTGTTACAGTTACTTATGAAAATGTTAACAGTTACAAAGGTGGTTACATCTAAATATTTTCAAACACATACAGATTTGATTGATTTCTTTCTCAAATTGCATCGACTGCTCTAAAATATTTCAGGAGTTTAGGACACATGCTTATAACTATTTTATTTCCTATTTGGGTTGATTGTTAGGCATTGTTAGATTCCAGTGTTTCAAAGATTTTGTTTCAAAAACAGCATCATAGCTATTAAACTATATCATGTTATGATTTTAAATCTGTATTTAACCTCAGAATGATCTCAAAGTCAGTCTGATTTTGTGGTGGCTGTGCTTTAAAATAAAAATATTATAATCTTAATTCAAGTGCTGAAGGATTGTGAAAGTCTGACAGTAATCAGTGTTGAATACTACTGCAAGGTAGTGCCTGGTTTACATGTTTGAAAATGATTAACGGGTGAAAGCATTAGAAATTTAGAAAGGTAATCAAATGTAATAAGTTACATGACTTTAATAAAGTAATTGAAATAGTTACACTACTTTTTACATTTTAAATAGGGTAACTTGTAATCTGTAACCTATTACTTTTCCAAAGTAACTTTCCCAACACTGATAATATATTACCATATACACATTTTACACATTTTATTATTATTATTATTATTATTATTATTATTATTATTATTATTATTATTATTATTGCTGTGTTAAATTAGGCCTATATTACTGCAATAATAACAATTAGTGTAATAATGCTCACACGACCCTAATTTTGGGTAAGAAATAGGATAAATAATATTTCTCTGTAAAAAAAATAATAATAAAAAATTGAAGTATGATAATCCATATGCATGCGCTTGCTGTGTTGACCGATAGATGTTCGACCATTTAAAAATGTTAAATACACAAATAAAACCGCATCAGTCAAAAAAAAAAACTAATAAAAAAGAATGTTATTAACAATTAACCATTATTTTTGCGCAGAAAAAAAAAACGAAATGGAAAAACAAATTATTTTTTATTCGTTTTCGAGTGCACTGAAAAGTCATGATCGTGACCACAAGAAAAAAAAATTATGTCAAGATGAGAAATTTAGGTCAAGATCAGAAGAAAACAAGAAAGAAAGAAAATAATTCATGGCCTCTTTAAGACCATGAATTTTTTGATCGAAATCATTTACAGCCCAAGACAATCAAGTGAGACACTGATATAGAAATTGCGATATGTGGGTTGATTTGAATGTCATGTCCAATAATTATATCATAGGCCAGTGTTATGAATTTATCATGTTTTTATGTCTGTTTTAAAAGCTCCAGTCTGGTCGCGTGTTTCTCTGTCCATCTAGATGCTGCTTTCTTCAGTCAGCCTCAGCCGCTGATATCAGTAATGACCGGTAAATTATGCTCTACACTCTCATGTTACATGTTTTCATCGCTGAAAGGTCTATTCATAAGTCTATTCATAACTGAGAGGTCGTGACCCTGAAGATGTGTTGCAGGTCAATATCATGTTCAAAACTGAGTGCTAAATCCAGTTTGAGTCTAAATCAGACACTCTTTAAACTGGCCTTCAGGAAATCAAGCTTCACAGACTTAAAGAGCAAACAGAACAATATCTGGAATTTTGTGGAAACCTGTGGGCTGTTGTACGAGTCTAAATGATCCATGAAGATATTACAATTCTAATTAGACGTTACAAATTAAACTCGGACAACAACTTGAGTAAAATGCACGTTTTTATTATTTTTCACGTTTGTAACCAAATAACAACACTCTGGCAACGCACAACACGGGTTTATAATAGTTTTGAGCTGATGTTGTTTAGCTAGATATCACGCTGTTTGTTGTTTTAGTTTAGTTCAGTGTTTTATATAGTTTGTCAGTATAGTTGTTAGTATACTGAGATGTTTTAAGTATGTTGAATGCTGTTAAACCTTAGATTGCTTGTATAGCTCCTCCACCAGTGCCTTCATGATTTCCTCCATCAATCCCGTAATATCTGTAATATGTCTGTGTATGTGTTTGTATGTTCTTTTATTAATTTGTAGGACTTGTTTTGTGTGATTTATGGGGGGCTTGGCTAATGCAGCCAATCACATGACTTTAGCACTTTGAAACAATGATTTGAAACAAAAGATTCACAAAGGTTTTGGAGTTTCATGAAGTAGAATCGCCCATTACTTGCTTCAAGCTTTAAGTTGTTTACTCACCCTCATGTTGTTCCATGTACCCATATTTAGGTCATGGCTGTCAGTTATTTGTGAACTCAATCTACTGTAAATTGTAAGCTGTTTAGTATGCAATTCCTAAATGTGGGCATTTTGGTAAAAACTATTAACTAAACATCTCATGCATCTTCCCCACTTCTGCAGCTTTGAAACTATAAAATAAAAAAAAATTATGAAACTAGCTTCAACAAATTTGATCCCTGTGACATTTGTTTAAAAAGTTGTACAACATGTCATCTCATTACACATTTACATACACATTGTTTTCTTAAAAAAATAAATTAAAAATAAAAATGCTGTAAAATATATATTTTTAACTTGTTTGCACAGTTGGCTTATAGTATCAGTCATTTTTATATTTTAGATAGTATATTAGAATAGTACAGAGACACAGTGTGTCAACCCCACGCGGCAACCTCCCGCTCTCTCTCCTGAAACCAACACGGAAGTGACTAAAACTGCAATTCATCGACTGGCCGCTAGAGGCTGGCTCCAAAAGGGAGTCAGTCCCATAGACCCCCCCATGTTAAACTGCCCAACTTTACAGCAGAAAAATTTTTTTACAGCCTGGTTTAAAAAGGGGTTTTGGTCTATATAGCTAATTTTGCCCTTCGTGACAACTGTGACAACAAATAAATTTTTTTATAACTCATCCGTTTAAATTATATTAAGCCTTAAAGTTCTGCATAATTAAGGGCGTGGCCACTTGAGTGACAGGTGGACTGCCTCTGCTGTCCAGAACTGTAGCTGTGTCTCATTTAGAAGGCTGCGCCCTCCGGAGGTCGCATTCGAAGGCTGCATACGTCATCGAGGCTGTCTCATTTCAGAAAAGCAAGTAGGACACTCCGAATGCGACCTTCGAATGCGACCTTC